TATATATATATATATATATATATATATATATATATATATATATATATGTATATATATATATATAGTACTAGTTTATATTAGAATTTATATTCAAATTTTGAACAAAACTATATATACTTCTGAGTACATGACTGAGTACATTTACATTTTATAATCAGAGATATTTAAAAATTGTAAATACTTAATGTTTTATTATAAATTCTTTTTTATCTTTTATTCTATTGCGAATTCTATATATTTTATTACACTACGAACTCTGCGAGTTTATATAAAAAGATCATTCTCCCTATGTAATTCCATAAACGTATATCTATAATATTTTATCTATTAAAGGAAGAAAACGTGAGTTTCTATGATGTTTCTGTTTCGATCATAGAGAGAACTCATGTTTGGGATAGAAATCGAATTTTCAATTGGTTCCCTCGGCAAAATAATCTGTTCCAACAAATTTCTGGAAAAATCTTGTGGAATTTTTTACGAGATTATGTCTTCCCGTGGAGAACCACGGAAAAAAAAGTTGTCCGCTCGATCAACGATTCCTCGAAGAAATGGATAGATTTACTCTTGAAAGTATATAAGTGTCTTTAAAGTGTATTCAGTCAGTGTATTTCTTTTGAAATACTATACTTAGAACTGTGTGTGTTGATTCAATTATACATACAGCACTGCTCTCAGTAAAATCTCACTGAAAGAATCAATTAATTAAGACTATCGGAAATCAATGAAGTATAAGATGGAAAAGTAAAGTGTAGGGATGTTTCTGCTGACAATCAATGAATATTTATTATGAATACTAATTATATTGGCGAAATATCGCTCTTAATGATTCAATTAAAGATATTTTTTACTGATTTACTCTTGTATGTTTACTCTTTCAAGTTAATTAGTAAAAATCAGTAAAAACGTTTCTGATTGAATCAGTATGAGAAATACTTCACTAGCAATCGATGCATATTCATTGATTTTCAGTGAAAACACTCCCACTTTACTGCTCCATGTTACATTTCATTGATTTCGACCAGTGGAAGTAAGATTTCACTGCAAAATCTGTGGTACAGATTCGTTATACGCTGTGCCAAATCCAACTTTCTGTGGTTTGCGTGCACTGTCTGTGTTTGTAAACTGCATCAATAATAAGAATAGTCGCTACTACATAAGAAAAAATGCCATTGTATCAATATAAATTATCAGCGTCGTAATTGGAATAAATTTTCTTGATTCAACAGCATTACTATTGAAACTAATACTTGAATAATCGAAAACAATACGTGATATATTGGTTTCAATGGTATTACTGTTGAATCAAGAAAATTCACTCCAATTAGGACAATATTGGCAATTTCTATTGATACAACAATTTTTTCCGGGTATTAACTAATTCTTTTAGTGGGATTTTACTGATTGCAGTGCTATATTTATAATTGAACCACCAATTACAAGTATAGCATTCTAATGAAGAATGCATTTATTATACTTTAGAAAGTGTGGGAGTGTTTTTATACAAGAAAATACATACTACATTCAAGTAAATCTTACTTATTGCAAGTACTTCATAAGTTCATATGTCCACGAATGTATCATAAGTTCATCATAAGCATCAAATTGATCCACAACTCATTTTAAAGTAAGTTTAGCATTTCAATCAGAAATATTAAACTAGAACAAAAATTTAGTTTACGGCATACAGCCGAACACTATCTTTTTTTCTTCGATAAAGTTTCACAATATTCTTGCAAAGACAGTGAATTCTTGTTTTGAGTACATAATAATAAGATTTTCTAAAATTTGCAATGAGTGTAAAGATTCGCGAGACATTTGGGAGACTGTTATCAAGAAAATATTTTTAGTTGAGCATAACTATTATTTAAAAGAAGGAAATTAAATTGAATAATCGCTCTCTTCAAGCAGTGAAGTGATACTTTTTGTGGTACTTTTCCGACAGTTATTGAATACTCACCAATTATCGGCGAAATGTTCCTCTTGTCGACTCAATTAGAAGCATCTTTACTGATTCACTTTAAGAGAGAGTAACCGAGCAGCCAATAATGTGTCAAGAGCGATGCTATGAGACATTTAGTTGCCCGACGATGACGTTACAGTTATGGTTACAGTTACCGGAGAGTAGATATACGCTCGATCGATAGTGCACTGCTCCACGTGCGCCCGCGATTCGCACCTGAGAGAGAGAGAGAGAGAGCAAGATAGAGAGTAAGAGAGAAAGAGAGAGAGAGCAACATAGAGAGTAAGAGAGAGAGAGGGGGGAGCCGTCCGAGTTTAATCTACTAATCTACCTACGACGAGCCGGACAAGAGACGTTAGCCGACTAAAGAGGGTCGGGGATAAGCGCGCTCGGGCGCTCGCGTAGGGTGCGAGGGATATCCGCGCGAACCTCGGGGCCGGGACTCGGGGCCCCGCTTCGGATTCTTATTTCCTCATAAATAATTTTAATGACGCGCCGCGGCAGTTCAGGTATAAGGCCGGGACCTATATGCAGATCCCGTATCCGTAGGCAGACTCGTATTGTTATTTATTATGTCCGTGGCGTACGGACGCGCGCACACACAGCGGCGCGCGCGGGAGTGCCCCGCCGACCATTTTTCATATCAGCGTTCGTTCTTCTCGCCACGGCGAGGCACGCTGACTGCCGTCTCGTTCGTCCTACCGCGACCTCCGCGTCCGCCTGTGGCCGCGGTTTGTAGATTTTAGAACACACGTCTCTCGCGCCTGCCAGCAACGATGCGCCGCCGTTAATCCGCCTCGACAAGACGCGACTGTCGTCGACTGGCTGACCACTGACGTCGGGAAAGAGGCCGCGCCGGTGTGGCGTATCGATATCCCAGAGAGTGATTCGCGCGTAACTTTGAAAGCAAGAGAGAGAGGGAGAGAGAGAGAGAGACAGAGGGAAGGAGGGAGGAAGGGAGAGGGAGAGAGACAAAGAGACAAATCAATATCGCGGAAACGAGAAGAAATATCTCATATACGCGATTTAATAACGGCGTATCGAATCTGGTAGCGTGTACGCGTAATGTATGCGTTATATATCATTTTTTTACAAACTACCGCCCGACGCGTACATCGGTATGGAGCAGCAACTGTCCCGAGCCCCATCCCGAGACTCTCTCTCTCTCTCTCTCTCTCTCTCTCTCCCCCTCTCTCTATCTCCTTCCCTCTCTTTCTTCCATCGTCCCTCCCTCAGGCTCTCTGTGCTCTCCCCGACGGCGTAGCACGTACATTTGCGTCACTTCTCTCTCTCTTCTCTCGCTCTCCCATTCTCTTCCTCCTCTTTCTCCCTATCTTTCTATCTCCGTCTCGGCGCTCCGCCGCTAGACGATGCGCGCGAGAGGGACAGCTCTCTTCCGCGGATCAAGACAAGATCGCGGCCAATCAGCGCGACGCGAGGCGACGCGTGTTGTCCTATTACACATCCGCGCGGACGATTCGGGCCCGTCCAAGTGGGGACACGTGCGCGTGCGAATTGCGACCGCGTGGCACCGCCACCTTCGTCTGCCCGCCGTCGCACCCACTCCCCGGCGATGGGCAGGACGAGCCTGGGCGAATCGCAGACCCGGCGAGCGTCGGCTACGTGGGGCAGCCACGGCCCGCTCATCACGCCCATACCGCCCATTCGGCGTCGCGGCGGCAGCGGGGTTTACGGTTCACCCCGCTCTGTCGGCCCCCCCCGTGCCGGTCGAGCGGTCGGTCGTCGGTCGCTGTGTAGCGCAACCCCGGCCAAGAGGGAGACCGACCGGGAGTTACGTTGTATTACACGGGGCCGGGCGACGGGATTCTCGCTCTCTCGTGGCGTGCCCGGGATGCGCCTCTCGCGTGTCGCTGCCGCCGCGTATGGCGTCTGATAGTCGCCGGTGATACTCGCGCGTCGCACGCAGCTGCTACCGGAACACGTCCCCTTGCACACCGTATCCGCGTGTCGCGGCCGCGATGTCGCTGGAAAGCCCGCGCCGCCGGTGAAGGGCTCGTCGAGCGCGCGCGCGCGAGAGAGAGAGCGAACGTCGGAGCACCAGTGCGTCCAGGAGCTTCTTTTTCTCTCGTCGGACACTCGGAGGTGTAGCATGAAGGTACGTACACACGCATTCACGCACGCACGCACGCACGCACGCACGCACGTGCGCCTAGAGATCGATGAGATGGAGCTCTCGCGTGAAGGAAAACCAGATTATTATCTTTGCCATTTCTTGTTTCCCTTTTTTTTTTTTCCATCAAAACGACCTTTCGCGATAACCCGCCGCGTGGAAGTCACGCAAAAATGCCGGAGATTCAATAACCGGCTCGCGGTTTGACGGGAACGCCAGTGTCCTTCCCACGTCGCGAGGACTCACGACACGCACGCGGCTGTGAATTACGCATCCGGCTGTGTAGGTGGGCGTGCGTGCACGTGTGTGCGTGAAGCGTGCCTACGCGCAAGAGGAACTGTAAACTCGCGTAAGATCACACATCGCGGAGACAGGCGACGTCCCACACCTTCGCCCCGGGAGGGGTGCGTGAGTTGTCGCGCGAAAAGGCGACCTCTCAGGATCGCGCGTCGTCCCCGCGGCTCGTTCGCTCGCGCGCGTGTGGTCCAGTAAATTGTCGGCGTAAAGCGCGCAAAATGCCGCATCAGCCTGATCCGGAGTTATATGGAGTTCGTTCTTTTGGAGTCTCTCTCTCTCTCTCTCTCTCTCTCTCTCTCTCTCTCTTCCACACATAACATACGCGCGCACACTCCTCATCTTCCTCCTTCGTTCTCTTCTTCCACGGGCTGCGTGCGTCGACGGAGCAACGCGCGCGATGAATAAGAAACGAAGCGCGGGACACGGAGCGCGGCGACGAGGAGAGGCGCGAATCGCGAGACACGCCTCGCTTATAGCGTGGATTTATCGCTCGGTGTGCGCGAGTTATACGCGATATAATTCAGCATTCCCGTTATATATACTCGCGAACAATGGCCGACGCTTTACTTTGTACAGCGCTGCACTTTTCTATTGTGGCAAGCACGCGCACGTGCGGGGCTTGCGCGAATCTTGTTTCTTACGGCGAGACGTAAGACTCTCTCTCTCTCTCTCTCTCTCTCTCTCTCTCTCTCTCTCTTTCTCTCTCTTGAGAGAGCGTTTCTCGAGAGGGTCTCAGACGTTACTTCACAAATCATCCTTGGCTCGAATATACGCCGAACGCTGCCGCGCTGCGACATGTGGCTTGATCCGCCGGCGATAAATCGTCGTTGTTTGTACTTTTGACAGCGACGCCGTGGATAACGTGATAACGTGATAATCCGAGCGTGACGCGAAAACACGTGGCGTTCCGATCGCGTGTCAGCCGTCGCGACGGAACAACTTCGCTTGTGGAACGTTTGTGCATTTAACAATTTCAAGTGATCTTAGTTTTGTCATCATCGCGATCCTTTAGATTTGTTAGCGCGAGAGTAATAACATTCGATCGTAAACAGCCAGAGAATACACTCAGAGGAGAAAGTGATCGAACCACACAACTGTTATATTTATTTCTGGCCTTACATTCATACTTTTTGATTATCTAACACGAAAATGGTAGTAGTAACATGTATATAAGCTTCTTATCACTAACATTATAATAGATTACAGCAGATTTTAATTTAAAAAATTGTTTTGTTGACCATAATTTATAGTAATTATTTTTCTATATAATTATAGCTGCAAATACCAAACATTTTTTTCTCAATGTACGTTTTATGGGATCATTTGCGATCAATGCTTAAATCGATTCTCTTGAACTCATTGATCAAAAAACAGTGAACAGTTGACAAGCTCTGCAGTATTTAATCGATAGAGATGAAGAGCCCAGGAGAATCGATAATGAATGTTGACATATGAATATGTTAACATATAGAGTCATTAATGAGACTATGAGAGAAAAAATATCTAAAAAATAAAAGAAATATTTGGCGAATACCAATGATGTGTATTTGCTTGTACTAATATATATATATATATATTCTTTTTTTACGCCAAGAAAACTTCTTTTTAATGAGAAAGTATACTTTTTCTTAAAAGCATAGTACGTTATGAAAAAGCAGTTATTTATTTTATTTAAGTAAAAGAATTTAAATTTAAGTAAATATGTCATTAGTACTCCCCGATTTTTTATTTTTCTTTTATGCCGCGCGCCGAATATTTAAATTTCTTGATGATTAATTGTCTCTGAATAATTTTATTTTATTTTCTTGTAAATCAGCCTACGATATGGAAAGTATCGGCCGAGCGAGTCTTTTCACGTGTGCTTCTATGCGTGCTCTAAATTTCTTGAAGTGAAATTTCTCTGAAAGCGAGCATCAATTCACTCGAAGAATCTCTATGAAAATAATGTCACTCGCAGTCACGAAGATGAATGTTCAACTCAAATCATCGAGTCATTCTTCATCCATTTGAATGAATGTTTTAACTGACTAGAATGAATTTCTTGCTGTGAGATGATTCCAAATAAAAATTTACCTCGTAGTTCTGACCGGGTTGATCCCAATCAGTTATCTGGTTTATATAAGATGACGTGTTATATAAGATGACGGGTCCTAATTATTAATATTTATTATTATTAATAAAATCCGGATTGCCAAGTTGCGTTACATGACTTAACAGGCGTCGACAACATCACGTTATACAAGTCAAGTAACTGACTTGGAATCAGCCCGATTAGATGGGAAAAATTCCTAGTCGGGGTAAAGTGCGTCAGATTCCCTCTTCAGTTTCAAATAAAGATATTTAATGTTTTGAAGAGCGGAGGGGATTCCCGAGTCGAAATTTTGACCCTATGTTGAACCTTGAATTCTATGCAGTAGGAGCTAAGATAGCAAAGTAGGTTTAATTCTAATGATATAATTTACCCCTACTTTGACCTTGATGATGTCTGAAATTTTCGCTTTCGCTTTATTTAGCGTCAAAGTAGATTGTATAATAGTAGGATCTTAGGAAGCAAAGTAAGTTCAGTTGTAAACCTCTATTGAAGTTTTAGCTTTTACATAGAATATATGTATTTCATAGAATTCAAGGTTCAACATAGGGTTCAAATTTCAACTCGGAAATGAGTGTCGATATCGTCAAAATAGATTTCACCTGTAGATTATCGTCAAAATAGGTGAAAATCTTTCACCTAGGTTATAGATTATCTAAGTAGGCTCTATTTTTAAGAAGCGTCAAAAATTTTGATGAGGGTAGAGTTAAAGGTTCAAACAGAAGTTAAAAGAGAAGTTAAAAGAGAAGAAAAAGAAGGTAAAAGAGAAGTTAATGAGTACCAATATCGTCAAAATAGGTTTTACCTGAGCTAAACCGTCTAAGTAGGCGCAAACTATCCTTAAAGAGACGTCTACATTGGAAGTAAACACTAAGAAGTAGGAAGTAAGAATAAGAAATTGACCAATCATAGTTAATTGTTCTTCTCACATTCGACTGTGGTTGGTCAATTTCTTACTCTTACTTCCTACTTCTTGCTATTTACTTCCAATGTAGACGTCCCTTATGAGCGTCAAAGTGACATCAAAATTTCGACTCGGGAAGCTACTCGCGATTTCTCAGCGGTTTTCATTGAGTGAATTCACTCAATGTCAATGGAAAGTCACTCGAATTCGGGTGACTCGGCTGTCAGCCTCACTCTGCGAGTGGAGGTCCGGTCGAAGAAGTGCAGGGGGTAGCTACGGGTCGCCGACGGCACGGTGGCGACAAGGTGGCGACATGGTCGAGGGTGGAGGGTAGGCGTGACGTTCGGAAATTGCCTGAAAAACGCAGCTAATTTCGAGTAGCGCGTTGTCCCCGCGAGGATGCACGCACGAGCGGTCGTCTCGCACGCGAGATATCGAGAGTGGCGCACGCGTGGGCAGAGCGTGAGCCACTGGGCATTGAGCGAACGCCATTGTCACGGTTGATTCGGATGGTTCTCTCCTCTCTTGGCTACTCATCGGTCACCACGAGGCCTCTACGGCCACGCTACGCGGTTAATAAACGATTCCGAGTGATCGTGAGACGAATCCCTTTTCCCAGCCACATGCCGCACCGCGTACAATGCCGCGCGCCGAAATCGGGTATGTCGGCGACTGCGACGGCGAGCGGGACGGTGGCGACAATGTGGCGTGCGAAACCAGAATTCGGATGGCGATTTAAATGGATTTCGAGTGGTCCGGGATAGAGGCCGTGTCACCTCGAATAGCTCGCTTGCCTATTGTACCTGCTTGGCACACAAGAAACGATCCGTTTCCACACGATACCTCCTTTTTTTATGAAGGCGTGAAGAGGCTCGTGCTCCTTTTCCACGCATATACACACATATACACAGAAAAATATATACCGCATTCAAAGAAACGTCACTTATTCAAAATAAGAAAGACCGGGCTTAGAAGGCCTATATTTTAAAAATTCGAAGTTATTATTTCTCAGGCAACTAATTCCTGCATAGAAAATACTTTGGAATCCAATTGGGATCCGATTTCCCACAATAATAAATTCTAGGTTGGGAAATCTATATAGGTTCTGGTTAGAAGTGTAACGTTTTAAACATGCGAATCTAAATGGGAAATTAGACAGATGCCGTTTGGTTATCCCCAATGTTTTCCCAAAGATTTTTTCTGGTTTATACTTTAAACTAAAATTGAGCAAAATATATGAAACACTTTGAGTATATATACACATACATAGTTGTAAAAAATAAATACTCAAAGTGTTTCAAATATTTTGCCCAAAAAATTTACATAAAATTAATAAATATTTAAAGGAAAACTATATTTCCATTTTAACATAAAAAACCTTAAATGATATATATATATATATATATATATATATATATATATTCTTTATTTTAAAATATTTATAAATATGTATTATTTATATGTATTACTTTACTTTTTAACATGGAACAATTTAAACAAGAAGAAACATTTGTATTATCTGTATTATATTAATGAAACTAATACAGAAAACAGTTAAAAAAACTCAAGTTTCCTTAATATATCTGTTCTGATTCTAGACAGAGAACTCATGTTTGAAACAAGAATGAGATTCCGAATTAGTATCATAGTGATAATCTTGGGACAATTTTGGGGTAAGAATGGGATTCCCAATTT